CAATTACACAGAAACCATACGACCACACTCAGTCATTGGGATGATGATAATTATGATAATGATGCTGACGATGGCGATGATGATGAGGTTATCGCTCATTTCCATGAACGTTTTTGTTGATCAAATACTCCTTTCATACAACGTAAGATCTCCACCGATTATGTTTCTTTATTATTCTTTTTTATTCTTTTTGTTGTTATTTATGAATGCAATCTTGGTGGAGTGGTTTCCTGTTGTCTGTACAACAGTGGTGTGTTCAGAGTGTTCTTAGAATGGTTGCCAAACCGACTGTTTGTTCCGCCTGATTGTTTATGCTGCTATATAACTCCTCTCCGAGACAGAGAAAAGGTGTGCGTATCACTTTGCCAAGAGTATTAGTGCGAAAATAAACGCAATAGCGTTGTCCGAAATGTAAACTAGACTAACCGATCAGAGATCAGTTTCACTACTCCTTTTTCATAAAAAAGTCAAATATATACCCGCATGAAATAGAAAAAGAAGTTTTATATTTTCAAGTATGTGGTTACCAAAAACAAATCAGTACCTTTCGCCTACAGAACAAGGAAGCTAACAGCCAACTTGGACAACGTTAAAGCACAATCCAAAGCGTATCTACACTGTGGTCACGCTGGAATGGTCTCTTATATCCAATGACCTCATCATAGAACACAATCTCTCTCTCTCATCCTTACCGAGTCCTACTCCACTGTTTCCAATAATTCCTGGTTCTTTTTTGGGTTTCTTTTTTCTTAATTCGACTGCACTAGAATAATTTATCGTAACAAAATTTCGCCTCCATTCAATTTAAAATATGCCTGTTTCTACACAGCCATACGTTTTCATGCGACTTGAATATGATTTAGCAAATCAAAAATAGCCAGGCTTAAGGAATGTTTCATTTTTTATCTTCATATTTTTCGTTTTGAAGTGCAAACAATTGCAAATAGTGCACTTTTCAATGTGAGGAAATATCACTAATATACATTTTTCATATATATCTATCCTATGCATTCAATATCACTCGTTTACGTCTTGATGACGTTCATGTGTCTTGATCCCATTCGCCATTAATTTGTGGGTTACCCTACGTGGATCCCCAAAACTGCCCATTAAGCGGCGCAATTTAATTATATAAAAAGGCAAACACGTTCTTCTCTTTTTTTCTTATCGCTTCAGCAATTAGTTGGAGATTCGTCTTCAGCTAAGCTAGTCGAACAGAGAGGAACCCAGACGAGGCTATGCCGAAGGGCAGAGTCTCGTCTGGGGTGGTAGACAACTACCCGACCACGTTTTGTTACGGGGTCTACGTGGAGTTTTTGCTCGAGCCTACGGGCTCGGATACCCCACATTAAATTTAGCCTTGTGCCACACCTGATCGCGTGGGGCGGTTGGCATATATCCTTATCGCTTCCGGGTGTAGTCGAACGTGAGATAAAGAATGTTGCCGCTGGAATGTGTCCGCTTTCTTGGTCCACTGACTAATGAGCTCTCACACGCATGTTTATCACACACATTTGTTTAATAACACACTCACAAACAAACACATTCTTATAGCTAGTTTTAACATGTGTTCATCTGATTTCACTTGTGTACTCATGTAATTCCTTTTGTTAATAGCATGCATTAATTCTCGTTTGTTTTGAATTCGAGGTTTCGTGGCTTCCCTTTTTTATTAACCGGACTCACATGATTCCGCCAAGTATATTTTGGGGGACAAATGTTCCAGAAGCTTTAAAGATTGACTGAGAAAAATTCACACCTGCCAATATGTGATTTCCTTAACAAATCCCTTACATATTTTACCAATGTGTTTTGTTCTGATAGTGAAAAACTTGTCTAGAAACACCATAGGAAAATTCGTAAACGTAAGGAATCAGCACATATGCTAGGCCACAAAAATCTCTTGAAACATGCAATAATAACAACAAAAAATTGCAATATGAGGACTGGTAAAAATGTTTCCTCAATGACACATGGCACAATGGATAAAGGCGTTGGTTAGATCCAGTGACAGACACCAAAGGGTGTGAGTTCAATACCCGGTTTAGGCAATGGAAAACTTTCAGAGGGAAATTAACAGGCACGTGGAACTACACCAGTGAGCGAAATTCCAACCGGAGCGTACAACGGCCGATACGTTGTAATAAATATGGCGACAAAGATGAAGACAATAGTCCGAATAATGTAAATAATTGTCTAGAAACTGTGCCTTTTCTATCTCTTCTAATTAACATATTTAAATAGGTACAATGCTACTTACCAATCTACTACACCTCCCTGAACCGAAGATGTTTAATACCTTTTTGTTATTCTTGAACTTCTTCTAATTAAACTTTTCCTGAAGTTTTATTTATTAATACTCCATGCGTGATCGAATTTTTACAAACGCCTTAATATTAATGTCGAAACAGTATTTATTTTGTGGACACAATAAGGGTACGATTAATGGAGGAAAAATTCTCTCTGTGGCCATCAGCCGATGTTCAGAAATATTCGAATCCCCAGAATTAAATTATTTCTGTGCCAACCATTTATGGTTCGTCACCATTAACCAATATTGGTATTTGGTCGAACTAAAACGAGATAAACGTCCATGACCAAAAGTCGCATTAAAAAGTTAATTCGGTTTTCGCTGAATTTATAAAATCAAAATGGAGAAAAATATCGAGAATGTCCTCATAAAAAAAAAAATGTTTCTTCTCCAGAGATAGATTTTTTAAAAATAAATAAATAAAAGAAAATTCATTTTATGCAATATTTAACCACGGAAAATCAATTAATAGAACATGAAGCACACGCGTTTTAAAATTTCTGCCTGAATTCAATTAATTATTGAAATTTAATGCAACTTGCTTTCCACATTGCAGCGCTAAACTGAATTCGTTTATGAAAAGGCTTTCTCGTTATGAAAAAAGCGGAGATATTTAATTTAATCCCCTCTTAACAAATCTAAATTAAATGCCGTTTGATGGAGAATAAGTTTCCAAATATGTTTTAAAAGATAATTCGCTGGAAAATTAATATCTGTGTGGTATTTCGTGAAAAAAAAAAACAGAAAAATAAATACGTGAAAGATATTGACGTTGAAATTATGATCTCGCGAGAGTAAAACGTTACGTTACTTTCCAAAATGTTGCGTTCGATATGTTAATTCTATTGTAGAACGCAAAATGAAAGAAATATATCTATGCAAAGGTTTCTTTAAGATTTTTCAAAGTTTATTCTGATTTATTTTTAAATTAAATGAACAAGTCTCAGAAGTCTTGTTTAATGTTTTGTCCTTGATCGATTCTGAAATGTCATTAAAAATAACCATTTTCTTTTAATAACAATAATAATAATAATTATAATAATAATAGTAATAGGTGTAGAAATACAAGTAATGTAAAATACAACGACTGAAGCTGAAAAATATTTAAAAAAGAAAGCAAAGACAAATGCAACCGACCAGATACAGAAACGATGGCAAGATAAACCGCTTCACAGTCAATACTTTGCTCGTACCAAAAAAGATGATGTAGACAAACCTCGTAAACATCAGTGGCTATGTAGTGCAGGGTTAAAGGCTGAAACCGAAAGTTTTATTCTTGCTTCACAGGACTAATGCTTGTTCACTAGAAATTATCGAGCACTCATACTAAAAAATTGTGTTAGCCCCAAAAGCAGATTCTGTGATAAATATCCAGAAACAATTGATCATCTTGTATCAGGTTGCAAGGTATTAGCACTCACTGAATAAAAAAAAAACCGGCATGACAGAATGGGCCAATATTTGCACTGAAAAATCTTCAACTTATACTGAAAGAAATTGGTATGAACAACCCGCCCCACTCAGACCCAGTCACGGAGATAAGACCTGTAACAATTTTATAGAACTACACAATACACACAGACAGAACAATCAAATTTAATCTCCCATACATCGTTATTAAGGACCGAAAAAAATTGCCTCCTAATTAATATGGCAGTCCCTGCGAACTGCAATGTATCTTTTTAAGATCTTCAAAAAGGTATCAAAATACAAGGACCTTGAAATCGAAATCTCAAAAATGTGGCAATTGGGAACCTCAACAATCCCTTTTGTATTTGGAGCCCTCGGATTGATTGGAAGAGATTACAGACTAATTGAAGCCCAGGCCTTAAAGAAATTTTAAAAAATGTTCTCACTAGTACAGCCCACACCTTACGAATGGCTTTATCTATGTAAAATATGTTTCTGATGTTTTTTTTTTCTTCAGTGGAAAATGTCATGATGCCATTTGTAACCTTAGGTCTCTATGCAGAACCCGGAAAGAAGTGTATACACACCAGTAATCAAAAGAAATAAATTAATAATAATGATAACAATAATAATAATAATAATAATAATAATAAAAGTGCCACCTTATTGATATGGCAGTCCCTGCTGACTGAAATATATCTTTGAAGATATTCAAAGAGCTGTCAAATTACAATGACCTTGAAATAGAAATCTCGAAAATGTGGCATATGGGAACATCAACAATCCCTGCTGTAGTTGGAGCCCTAGGAGTGGTTGGAAAAGATTGCAGTAGAATAATTGAAGGGATTCCTGGAAGTCCATGCCTCAAGGAGATACCAAAAAATTTTCTGACAAGTACAGCCAACACTTTACGAAGGGCTTTATCTATGTATTTTTTTTTTTTGTCAGTGGAAAGTGTCATGACGCCATTTCTAACCTTAGGTCCCTGGGCGGGACCCGGAAAGAAATGTGTAAACGCCAGAAATCAAAGAAAATAATAATAATAATAATAATAATAATAATAATAATAACCTTATTTTAGTTTCCTTCACAAGAATGTGTGAATTTAGTGAGAGGGAGACGAAAATTAAATAACCAGATTTTTTTTTCCTGATTTGGAGAGAAAATATCAGAAGGAGAAGGTGTGACGAAAAGAGACAGTGAATGATGAGAAAGAGAACAGATGAGAGGGAGACACTACATGTGGCAGAGACAATAACAGAGAGATAAAGAGGATGAATCAGAGAGAGTAATGGAATACATAAGGGAGAGAAACAGTAATCAAGAGAGAAAGAGAGAGAGAGATATTGATAAAGAGATAGAGACAATAAATGGAAAGCGAAACGGGAAGCGTGAGAGAGAATAGAATGAATGACAGAGACAATGAATATAAAAGAGTGATAGTAAGTGAGAAAAAGAAAGAGAATGAGTGACTGAGAGAGAGACAACGCATGACAATGAGAGATAGTAAGAGAGATAGAATATGTGTGACAGAGAGTGAGAGACAATGAATGAGAAAAAGAGAGAAAGTAAGTGAGAGAGTAAGATGTGTAAGTGAGAGAGAATGCATAGGGTAGAAAGACTATGAGTGAAAAGCGAGAGACACTACATGTTGCAAAGAGACAGTGAGTGTGTGAAAAGGAGAATGAATGAGTGAAAGACAATAGATGTGAGAGAAAGAGAGTAAGTGATAGAGAAATAGAATGAGTAGGAGAGCAGTCATACATGAAATCAAGAGCCAATAATTGAGAGAAAAAGAGAATGAGAGAGAGAGAGAGAGAGAGAGAATGCATGTGGCGGATAGATAGTCAATGAGAGAGAAAGAGAATGAGTGAGACTGTCCTTGAGGCAGATATAGTGAGTGAGAGAGAAAGTAAGAGAATGAGCGACAGAGAGATAAAGACAATGAATGAGAAAGAGACAGCGAGAGAGAGAGAGAGAGAATAAATGAAAAGAGAGATATTAAGCTAGAGAGAGAAAGAGAATGAGATTAAGAGAGACAATGAATGAAAAAAAGAGATAGTAAGTGATAGAAACAAGGAGAACGAGTGAGAGAGATAATGAATGAGAAAGAGAGATATTAAGTGAAAAAGACATAATGAGTGAGAGAGAAAGACACGATGAATAAGGCAAAGAGATTGCAAGGGAAAGAGAATGAGTGAGTGAGAAACAATACATGAAACAGATACAGTGAGGGAGTGAGAAAGAGAAATAGTGGGAGGGAGAGTATATATGATGCACAGAGACAGTGAATCTGTGAGGGAAGTAATATGATATTAAATTAGAAAGGATGAGAATGGCTGAGAGGTATAGATTGACAGCGCATACAGACACAGTGAGTGAGTGAGTTAGTCAGTCAGTGAGCGACAGATAATGAGTGAGAGTTAGAAAATAATTGAAAGAGAGAGACAGTGAGCTAGAGAGTGAGAAAAAGAATGAGTGAGAGGTAGACAATACATGAAACAGAGACAGTGAGTGATTGCGTGAGGGATAAAGAGAATGAGTGAGAGGTAGACAATACATGAGGCAGAGACAGTGAGGGATAAAGAGAATGAGTGAGAGGTAGACAATACATGAGGCAGAGTCAGTGAGTGATTGAGTGAGGGATAAAGAGAATGAGTGAGAGATAGACAATACATGAGGCAGAGACAGTGAGTGATTGAGTGAGGGATAAAGAGAATGAGTGAGAGGTAGACAATACATGAGGCAGAGACAGTGAGTGATTGAGTGAGGGATAAAGAGAATGAGTGAGAGGTAGACAATACACGAGGCAGAGACAGTGAGTGATTGAGTGTGGGATAAAGAGAATGAGTGAGAAGTAGACAATGCATGAGGAAGAGACATTGGGTGATTGAGTGAGGGATAAAGAGAATGAGTGAGAGGTAGACAATACATGAGACAGAGACAGTGAGTGATTGAGTGAGGGATAAAGAGAATGAGTGAGAAGTAGACAATGCATGAGGCAGAGACAGTGAGTGAATGAGTGAGGGATAAAGAGAATGAGTGAGAGGTAGACAATACATGAGGCAGAGACAGTGAGTGATTGAGTGAGGGATAAAGAGAATGAGTGAGAGGTAGACAATACGTGAGGCAGAGACAGTGAGTGATTGAGTGTGGGATAAAGAGAATGAGTGAGAAGTAGACAATGCATGAGGCAGAGACAGTGAGTGATTGAGTGAGGGATAAAGAGAATGAGTGAGAGGTAGACAATACATGAGGCAGAGACAGTGAGTGATTGAGTGAGGGATAAAGAGAATGAGTGAGAGGTAGACAATACATGAGGCAGAGACAGTGAGTGATTGAGTGAGGGATAAAGAGAATGAGTGAGAGGTAGAAAATACACGAGGCAGAGACAGGTAGTGATTGAGTGAGGGATAAAGAGAATGAGTGAGAGGTAGACAATGCATGAGGCAGAGACAGTGAGTGATTGAGTGTGGGATAAAGAGAATGAGTGAGAGGTAGACAATGCATGAAGCAGAGACAGTGAGTGATTGAGTGAGGGATAAAGAGAATGAGTGAGAAGTAGACAATGCATGAGGCAGAGACAGTGAGTGAATGAGTGAGGGATAAAGAGAATGAGTGAGAGGTAGACAAAACATGAGACAGAGACAGAGACAGTGAGTGAATGAGTGAGAGATAAAGAGAATGAGTGAGAGGTAGACAATAAATGAGACAGAGACAGAGAGACAGGAGGATTGAGTGAGGGATAAAGAGAAATGAGAGAGGTAGACAAAACATGAGACAGAGACAGAGACAGTGAGGATTGAGTGAGGGATAAAGAGAATGAGAGAGTAGACAATACATGAGGCAGAGACAGTGAGTGATTGAGTAAGGGATAAAGAGAATGAGAGAGGTAGACAATACATGAGGCAGAGACAGACAGTGATTGAGTGAGGGATAAAGAGAATGAGTGAGAAGTAGACAATGCATGAGGCAGAGACAGTGAGTGATTGAGTGAGGGACAGAATGAGTTGAGAGGGATAGACAATACATGAGGCAGAGACAGTGAGTGATTGAGTGAGGATAAAGAGAATGAGAGAGGTAGACAAATACATGAGGCAGAGACAGTGAGTGATTGGAGTGAGGGATAAAGAGAATGAGTGAGAGGTAGACAATACATGAGGCAGAGACAGTGAGTGATTGATAAAAGAGAGGGATAAAGAGAATGAGGAGAGGTAGACAATACATGAGACAGAGACAGTGGAGTGATTGAGTGAGGGATAAAGAGAATGAGAGAGGTAGACAATACATGAGGCAGAGACAGTGAGTGATTGAGTGAGGGATAAAGAGAAATGAGTGAAATGAGAGACAATACATGAGGCAGAGACAGTGAGTGATTGGAGTGAGGGGATAAAGAGAATGAGTGAGAGGTAGACAATACATGAGGCAGAGACAGTGAGTGATTGAGTGAGGGATAAAGAGAATGAGGAGAGGATAGACAATGACATTGAGGCAGAGACAGTGGAGTGAATGAGTGAGGGATAAAGAGAATGAGTGAGAGGTAGACAAAACATGAGGACAGAGACAGTGAGACAGGGGAGTGAATGAGTGGAGATAAAGAGAATGAGTGAGAGGTAGACAATAAAAGATGAGACAGAGACAGATGTGAGGAATGAGTGAGGGATAAAGAAAAATGAGTGAGAGGTAGACAATACATGAGGCAGAGACATTGAGTGATTGAGTGTGGGATAAAGAGAATGAGTGAGGAGACAATACATGAGAGAGAGAGATGGAGGAGTGATTGAGGGGCAGATACAGGATTGAAAGAGAATGAGTGAGAGGTAGACAATACATGACATGAGGCAGAGACAGTGAGGATTGAGTGAGGGATAAAGAGAATGAGTGAGAGGTAGACAATACATGAGGCAGAGACAGTGAGTGATTGAGTGAGGGATAAAGAGAATGAGGAGAGGTAGACAATAAATGAGACAGAGACAGAGAGACAGGAGTGATTGAGTGAGGGATAAAGAGAATGGAGGAGAGGTAGACAACACATGAGAGACAGTGAGTGATTGAGTGAGGGATAAAGAGAATGAGTGAAAGGTAGACAATACAACAGAGAGACAGTGAGGATTGAGAGGGATAAAGAGAATGAGAGAGAAATAGACAATGATGAGGCAGAGACAGTGAGTGATTGAGTGAGGATAAAGAGAATGAGTGAAACGTAGACAATACATGAGGCAGAGACAGTGAGTGATTGAGTGAGGGATAAAGAGAATGGAGTGAGACAAAATGCAGGACAATAAAGGGAAATAGAGACAGAGGAGACAATTCAGACAGAGACAGTGAGTGAATGAGTGAGGGATAAAGAGAGAATGTAGACAATACATGAGAGGTAGACAAAATGAGACAGAGACAGAGACAGTGAGTGAATGAGGAGGATAAAGAAATGAGTGAGAGGTAGACAATGCATGAGGCAGAGACAGGAGTGATTGAGTGTGTGATAAAGAGAATGAGTGAGGTAGACAATGCATGAGGCAGAGACATTGAGGATTGAGGAGGGATAAAGAGAATGAGGAAAGGTAGACAATACATGAGACAGAGACAGGAGGATTGAGTGAGGGATAAAGAGAATGAGAGGAGGTAGACAAATACATGAGGCAGAGACAGTGAGTGATTGAGTGGAGGATAAAGAGAATGAGGAGAGGTAGACAATACATGAGGCAGAGACAGTGAGTGAATGAGTGAGGGATAAAGAGAATGAGTGAGAGGTAGACAATAAAGAGACAGAGACAGAAAGAGTGATTGAGAGAGATAAAAGAGAATGAGAATGAGAAGTAGAGACATGAGGCAGAGACAGTGAGTGATTGAGTGAGGGATAAAGAGAATGAGTGAGAGGTAGACAATACATGAGGCAGAGACAGAGAGTGATTGAATGGGGGATAAAGAGAATGATAGACAAATGAGGCAGAGACAGTGAGTGGAGATAAAGAGAATGAGTGAGGTAGACAAATACATGAGACAGAGACAGTGAGTGAATGAGTGAGGGGATAAAGAGAATGAGAGGTAGACAATGAGGCATGAGGCAGAGACAGTGAGTGATTGAGTGAGGGATAAAGAGAATGAGAGGTAGACAATACATGAGGCAGAGACAGTGAGTGATTGAGTGAGGGATAAAGAGAATGAGTGAGAGGTAGACAATACATGAGGCAGAGACAGTGAGTGATTGAGTGAGGGATAAAGAGAATGAGTGAGAGGTAGACAATACATGAGGCAGAGACAGTGAGTGATTGAGTGAGGGATAAAGAGAATGAGTGAGAGGTAGACAATGCATGAGGCAGAGACAGTGATTAGTGAGGATAAAGAGAATGGAAGGATAAACATGAGAATGAGTGAGAGGGATAAACAGAATGAGATGAGACAATACAGAGACAGTGACATTGGAGGGATTGAGTGAGGGATAAAGAGAATGAGAGGATGTAGACAATACATGAGGCAGAGACAGTGAGGATTGAGGATAAAGAGAATGAGGAGAGGTAGACAATACATGAGGCAGAGACAGTGAGTGATTGAGGAGGGATAAAGAGAATGAGATGGTAGACAATACATGAGGCAGAGACAGGGATAAGAATGATTGAGGGAGGGAGAAAGAGAATGAGAGGTAGGTAGACACATGAGGCAGAGACAGTGAGTGATTGAGGAGGGGATAAAGAGAATGAGGGAGAGGTGGTGATTAGTGACAATGGATGAGGCAGAGACAGGAGTGATTGAGGAGGGATAAAGAGAATGAGGGAGAGAGGTAGACAATGCATGAGGCAGAGACAATACATGAGAGATTGAGTGGAGGGATAAAGAGAATGAGTGAGAGGTAGACAATACATGAGACAGAGACAGAGACAGTGAGTGAATGAGTGAGGGATAAAGAGAATGAATGAGAGGTAGACAAAACATGAGACAGAGACAGAGACAGTGAGTGAATGAGTGAGAGATAAAGAAATGAGTGAGAGGTAGACAGAGACAGAGACGGTGATGAGTGACACAGAGAATGAGAGACAGACAACACATGAGACAGAGACAGTGATTGAGTGAGGGATAAAGAGAGAATGAGATGAGAGGTAGACAATGCATGAGGCAGAGACAGTGAGTGATTGAGTGAGGGATAAAGAGAGGAGGTAGAAATAGAGGAGGACAGTGAGTGATTAAGTGGGGATAAATGAATGACAGAGACAGACATGAGGAGAGAAGTGAGTGATTGAGTGAGGGATAAAGAAATGAGAGGTAGACAATACATGAGGCAGAGACAGGAGGATTGAGTGAGGGATAAAGAGAGAATGAGAGGTAGACAATACATGAGGCAGAGACAGGAGATTGAGTGAGGGACAAAGAGAATGAGGAGAGGTAGACAATACATGAGGCAGAGACAGAGTGATTGAGTGAGGGATAAAGAGAATGAGTGAGAAGTAGACAATGCATGAGGCAGAGACAGTGAGTGATTGAGTGGGGGATAAAGAAATGAGTGAGAGGTAGACAACACATGAGGGAGACAGTGAAAAGAGGGATAAAGAGAATGAGAGTAGTAGACAACATGAGAGGCAGAGACAGAGACAGTGAGTGATTGAGTGAGGGATGAGAATGAGTGAGAGGTGGAGACAACATGAGGCAGAGACATTGAGTGATTGAGTGAGGGGATAAAGAGAATGAGAGAGGTAGACAATACATGAGGCAGAGACAGTGAGTGATTGAGTGAGGATAAAGAGAGAATGAGGAGAGGTAGACAACATGAGGCAGAGACAGTGAGTGAGATTGAGTGAGGGATAAAGAGAATGAGGAGAGGTAGACAAATGACAAGAGAGGCAGAGACAGGAGTGAAGGAGTGAGGATAAAGAAATGAGTGAGAGGTAGACAATACACGAGGCAGAGACAGTGAGGATTGAGTGTGGGGATAAAGAGAATGAGTGAGGTAGACAATACATGAGGCAGAGACAGTGAGGATTGAGGGAGGGATAAAGAGAATGAGTGAGAGGTAGACAATACATGAGGCAGAGACAGTGAGATTGAGGAGGGATAAAAGAAATGAGGAGAGGTAGACAATGAGGCAGAGCAGAGACAGGAGGAATGAGTGAAGGATAAAGAGAATGAGGAGAGAGGTAGACAAAATGAGACAGAGACAGAGACAGTGATTGAATGAGGGGATAAAGAGAATGGGGGGTGAGAGGTAGACAATACATGAGGCAGAGACAGGAGTGATTGAGGTGGGATAAAGAGAATGAGTGAAAGGTAGACAATACATGAGACAGAGACAGTGAGTGATTGAGAGGAGGGATAAAGAGAATAAGTGAGAAGTAGACAATGCATGAGGCAGAGAGACAGTGAGGATTGAGTGTGGGATAAAAGAGAATGAGGAAAGGTAGACAATACATGAGGCAGAGACAGTGAGTGATTGGAGGAGGGATAAAGAGAATGAGGTAGACAACACATGAGACAGAGACAGTGAGTGATTGAGGAGGGATAAAGAGAATGAGGAGAGGTAGACAACACATGAGGCAGAGACATTGAGGATTGAGTGAGGGATAAAGAGAATGAGAGGGCAGACAATACATGAGGCAGACAGGAGTGATTGAGTGAGGGATAAAGAGAATGAGAGAGGTAGACAATACATGAGACAGAGACAGGAGTGATTGAGTGTGGATAAAGAGAATGAGGAGAAGTAGACAATGCATGAGGCAGAGACAGTGAGTGATTGAGTGAGGGGAAAGAGAATGAGGAGAGGTAGACAATGCATGAGGCAGAGACAGTGAGTGATTGAGGGAGGGATAAAGAGAATGAGTTAGAGGTAGACAAATGAATGAGGCAGAGACAGTGAGGAATGAGTGAAGGATTGGAATGAGTGGAGAGGTAGACACACACGAGGCAGAGACAGGAGGATTGAGTGAGGGATAAAGAGAATGGAGTGAGAGGTAGACAAATGCATGAGGCAGAGACAGAGGATTGAGTGAGGGATAAAAGAGAATGAGGAGAAATAGACAAAACATGAGACAGAGACAGAGACAGTGAGTGAATGAGTGAGAGATAAAGAGAATGAGTGAGAGGTAGACAATAAATGAGACAGAGACAGAGACAGTGAGTGAATGAGTGAGGGATAAAGAAAATGAGTGAGAGGTAGACAATGCATGAGGCAGAGACATTGAGTGATTGAGTGTGTGATAAAGAGAATGAGTGTGAAGTAGACAATGCATGAGGCAGAGACATTGAGTGATTGAGTGAGGGATAAAGAGAATGAGTGAAAGGTAGACAATACATGAGACAGAGACAGTGAGTGAATGGAGGAGGGATAAAGAATGAGAGAGGTAGACAATACATGAGGCAGAGACAGAGTGATTGAGGAGGGATAAAGAGAATGAGGAGAGGTAGACAAATACATGAGGCAGAGACAGTGGAGGAGGATTGAGGGATAAAGAGAATGAGAGGTAGACAATACACGAGGCAGAGACAGTGAGTGATTGAGGTAAAGAGAAATAGAGACACATGAGGCAGAGACAGGGAGGATTGAGTGAGTGGATAAAGAGAATGAGTGAGAGGTAGACAACACGAGGCAGAGACGGTGAGGATTGAGAGGGATAAAGATAATGAGTGATTGGCAATAGTGAGGCAGAGACAGTGGGAGGATTGAGGGAGGGATAGAGAGAATGAGGAGAGGGTAGACAATACATGAGGCAGAGACAGTGAGTCATTGAGTGGGACAAAGAGAATGAGTGAGAGACAACACATGAGGCAGAGACAGGAGTGATTGAGGAGGGATAAAGAGAATGAGTGAGAGGCAGACATTACATGAGGCAGAGACAGAGTGATTGAGTGAGGGATAAAGAGAATGAGTGAGAGGTAGACAACACATGAGACAGAGACAGTGAGGAATGAGTGAGGGATAAAGAGAATGAGTGAGAAGTAGACAATACATGAGGCAGAGACAGGAGTGATTGGAGGAGGATAAAGAGAATGAGGAGAGGTAGACAATGCATGAGGCAGAGACAGTGAGGAATGAGGAGGGATAAAGAGAATGAGTGAGAGGTAGACAATGAATGAGGCAGAGACAGTGAGTGAAAATGAGAAGGATAAAGAGAATGAGGAGAGGCAGACAATACACGAGGCAGAGACAATGAAAGATTTAGTGAGGCACAAAGAGAATGAGGAGAGGTAGACATTACATGAGGCAGAGACAGTGAGTGATTGGAGGAGGGATAAAGAGAATGAGTGAGAGGTAGACAATACATGAGACAGAGACAGAGAATGGAAGTGGGGAAGAGAATGAGTGAGAAATAGAGAATGAAATGTAGACAATATATGAGGGTAGAGACAGGAGTCATTGATAGAGGGATAAAGAGAATGAGTGAGAGGTAGACAACACATGAGACAGAGACAGGAGTGATTGAGTGAGGGATAAAGAGAATGAGGAGAGGTAGACACACATGAGACAGAGACAGTGAGGAATGAGTGAGGGATAAAGAGAATGAGGAGAGGTAGACAATACATGAGGCAGAGACAGTGAGTGGATTGAGTGAGGGATAAAGAGAATGAGGAGAGGTAGACATTACATGAGGCAGAGACAGTGAGGATTGAGTGAGGGATAAAGAGAATGAGTGAGAGGTAGACAACACATGAGACAGAGACAGTGAGGATTGAGGAGGGATAAAGATAATGAGTGAGAGGTAGACATTACATTGAGGCAGGGACAAGAGAATGAGTGATTGAGTGAGGGGATAAAGAGAATGAGGGAGAGGTGACAACACATGAGGCAGAGACAGGAGTGATTGAGGAGGGATAAAGAGAATGAGGAGAGGTAGACAACACATGAGGGGAGAGACAGGGGAGGATTGAGGAGGGATAAAGAGAATGAGGAGAGGTAGACAATACATGAGGCAGAGACAAAGAGTGATTGAGTGAGGGATAAAGAGAATGAGTGAGAGGCAGACAATACATGAGGCAGAGACATTGAGGAGGGCGAAGAGAATGAGGATAAAGAGAATGAGGAGAGGGATAGAGAATGATATGTAGAGACAGAGAGACAGTGGAGTGATTGGAGGAGGGATAAAGAGAATGAGTTAGAGGTAGACAGACAATGAATGAGGCAGAGACAATGAGTGAATGAGTGAAGATAAAGAGAATGAGTGAGAGGTAGACATTACATGAGGCAGAGACAGGAGTGATTGAGTGAGGATAAAGAGAATGAGGAGAGGTGTAAAATACATGAGACAGAGACAGAGACAGTGGAGATTGATAGAGGGATAAAGAGAATGGTAAAGAGGAATGAGGTAGACAAAACATGAGACAGAGACAGAGACAGGATTGGAGAGGGATAAAGAGAATGAGTGAGAGGTAGACAATAAACATGAGACAGAGACAGGAGTGAAAAAGAGTGGAGGGAGATAACAAAGAGAATGATTGGAGAAGTAAGTCAATGCATGAGGCAGAGACAGTGAGGATTGAGTGAGGGATGAAGAGAATGAGTGAGAGGTAGACAATACATGAGATGAGACAGTGAGTGATTGAGTGAGGATAGAAGAGAATGAGTGAGAGGTAGACATTACATGAGACAGACACAGTGAGTGAAAATGAAGAGGGATGAGAGAATGAAGAGAATGGTGAGAGGTAGACATGAGGCAGAGGGTGAGGCAGAGACAGTGAGTGATTGAGTGAGGATAAAGAGAATGAGTGAGAAATAGACAACACAGAGACAGAGACAGTGAGTGATTGAGTGAGGGATAAAGAGAATGAGTGAGAGGTTGACAACACATGAGGCAGAGACAGTGAGTGAATGAGGGGAGAGGGATAAAGAGAATGAGTGAGAGGTGGACAATACATGAGACAGAGACAGGAGTGATTGGAGGAGGGATAAAGAGAAATGAGTGAGAGGTAGACATTACATGAGGCAGAGACAGGAGTGATTGAGTGAGGGATAAAGAGAATGAGGAGAGGAGACAATACATGAGACAACAGAGAGGTGAAGGGGAGTGAATGAGTGAGGATAAAGAGAATGAGTGAGAGACAGACAATACATGAGGGAGAGACAGTGAGTGATTGGAATGAGGAGGAGAGGCAGAAAGAGAATGGAGGATTGAGGAGGAGAGAATGTAGACAACACATGAGACAGAGACAGGAGTGATTGAGTGAGGGATAAAGAGAATGAGTGAAAGGTAAACAATACATGAGGCAGAGAGACAGTGAGTCATTGATAGAGTGGATAAAGAGAATGAGAGAGAGGTAGACAATACATGAGACAGAGACAGAGACAGGAGGAATGAGTGATGGATAAAGAGAGGAGTGAGAAAACAATAAATGAGACAGAGAGAGAGGGAGAATGAAAGAGAATGAGTGAGGGTTGGAGGAGTTAAATGAGACAGAGACAGGAGGAAATGAGGAGGATTGGAGGTAGATAATACATGATAAGAAGAGAAAGGATGGAGAATGAGGGAGAAGTAGACAATGAGGCAGGAGAGGATGAGACAGAGAGAAAGAGAATGAGGAGGATTGAGGCAGAGATGAAAGAGGGATAAAGAGAATGAGTGAGAGGTAGACAATACATGAGACAGAGACAGGAGGAATGGAGGCAGATACAGGATAAAGAGAATGAGTGAGAGGTAGACAATACATGAGACAGAGACAGGAGTGATTGAGGAGGATAAAGAGAATGAGGAGAGGCAGACAAGTGACATGAGGCAGAGACAATACATGAGAGAAGTGAGGATTGAGGGATAAAGAGAATGAGTGAGAGGTAGACACACATGAGGCAGATACAGAGAGATTGAGTGAATGAGAATGAGGGTAGAGTGAGGCAGAGAAAGAAATGAGGGGAATGTAGAGATGTAGACAATATGAGGCAGAGACAGTGAGTGATTGAGTGAGGGATAAAGAGAATGAGGAGAGGTAGACAATACATGAGACAGAGACAGGAGTGATTGAGTGAGGGATAAAGAGAATGAGGAGAAGGTAGACAATACATGAGGCAGAGACAGGAGTGATTGAGTGAGGGATAAAGAGAATGAGAGAGAGGTAGACAATACAGAGACAGTGAGGAATGAGAGACAGGAGTGATTGGAGTGAGGGATAGAAGAGAGGAATGAGGAGAGGAATAGACAGGTACATGAGACAGAGAGGACAGATTGGGAATGAGGGATAAAGAGAATGAGTGAGAGGTAGACAATACATGAGACAGAGACAGGAGGAAATGAGGAGGGATAAAGAGAATGAATGAGGAGAGGTGGGCAAATACATAAGAGAGAGAGACAGTGAACAGATTGGCACTGACAGGATAGGATGAGGAGAGGCAGGATAAAGAGAATGAGTGAGAGGTTGAGTGATTGAGTGAGGGATAAAGACATGAGACAGAGACAGAGACAGTGAATGAGTGAGGGATAAAGAGAATGAGTGAGAGGTAGACAACATGAGACAGAGACAGTGAGTGAATGAGGAGGGATAAAGAGAATGAGAGAGAGGTAGACAATACATGAGGCAGAGACAGGAGGATTGAGGAGGGATAAAGAGAATGAGTGAGAGGTAGACAATATATGAGGCAGAGACAGGAGGATTGAGGAGGGATAAAGAGAATGAGTGAGGGATAAAGAATGAGTGAGAGGGATAAACAAATGAAGAGGAGGCATGAGACAGAGAGTGATTGAGTGGGATAAAAGAGAATGAGGAGAGGTAGACAAATGCATGAGGCAGAGACAGGAGGATTGGAGGAGGGGGAAAGAGAATGAGGAGAGGTAGACAACACATGAGGCAGAGACAGTGAGTGATTGAGTGAGGGATAAAGAGAATGAGTGAGAGGTAGACAATACATGAGGCAGAGACAGTGAGTGATTGAGTGAGGGATAAAGAGAATGAGTGAGAGGAGAGGAAAGAGAATGAGAGGTAGACAATACATGAGGCAGAGACAGTGAGTGATTGAGGAGGGATAAAGAGAATGAGTGAGAGGTAGACATTACATGAGACAGAGACAGGAGTGATTGAGGAGGGATAAAGAGAATGAGTGAGAGGTAGACATTACATGAGACAGAGACAGTGAGTGATTGAGTGAGGGATAAAGAGAATGAGGAGAGGTAGACAACACATGAGAGACAGAGACAGGAGGATTGAGAAGAGGGATAAAGAGAATGAGGAGAGGTAGACAAATACATGAGACAGAGACAGTGAGTGAATGAGTGAGGGATAAAGAGAATGAGGAGAGGTTGACAATACATGAGACAGAGACAGAGTGATTGAGTGAGGAGGAATGAGGAGAGGGATAAAGAGAATGAGTGAGATGTTGACAATACAGAGGAGACAGAGACAGAGAGGAATGAGGAGGGATAAAGAGAATGAGGAGAGGGAGACAACACATGAGGCAGAGACAGTGAGTGATTGAGTGAGGATAAAGAGAATGAGTGAGAGGTAGACAATACATGAGGCAGAGACAGTGAGTGATTGATAGAGGGATAAAGAGAATGAGGGAGAGGTAGACAATACATGAGACAGAGACAGGAGTGATTGAGTGAGGGATAAAGAGAATGAGTGAGAGGTAGACAGACATGAGACAGAGAATGGGAGAGTGAATGAGTGAGGGATGAGGAGAGGTAGACATGAGGCAGAGACAGGAGGATTGAGAAAGAGAATGAGGAGAGGTAGACAGAGACAGAGACAGGAGGAATGAGTGAGGAGGGACAAGAGAATGAGTGAGAGGTAGACAATGAGTGCATGAGGCAGACAGTGAGGAAAGAGGAGGGATAAAGAGAATGAGTGAGAGGTAGACAAATACATGAGACAGAGACAGGAGATTGAGTGAGGGATAAAGAGAATGAGTGAGAGGTTGACAATATAAAGAGACAGTGAGAAATGAGAGGTATAAAGAGAATGATTACATGAGACAGAGACAGTGAGTGATTGAGAATGAGGGAGAGGTAAAGAGAATGAGTGAGAGGTAGACAAAGACAATGAGACAGAGACAGAGACAGGAATGAAATGAGGAGGGATAAAGAGAATGATTGAGAGGTAGACAATACATGAGACAGAGACAGTGAGTGATTGAGTGAGGATAAAGGAGAGGGACAGAGAATGAGTGAGAGGTTAAAGAGAATGACATGAGACATGAGACAGGACAGTGAGGATTGAGTGAGGGATAAAGAGAAATGAATGAGAGGTTAGACAATACATGAGGCAGAGACAGTGAGTGATTGAGGAGGGATAAAGAGAATGAGTGAGGGTAGACAACACATGAGACAGAGACAGGAGTGATTGAGTGAGGGATAAAGAGAAATGAGTGAGAGGTAGACATTACATGAGACAGAGACAGGAGTGATTGAGTGAGGGATAAAGAGAATGAGTGAGAGGTAGACAATGCATGAGGCAGAGACAGTGAGTGATTGTGTGAGTGATAAAGAGAATGAGTGAGAAGTAGACAATACATGAGACAGAGACAGTGAGTGATTGAGTGAGGGATAAAGAGAATGAGGAGAGAGGTAGACAATACATGAGGCAGAGACAGAGTGATTGAGGAGGGATAAAGAGAATGAGGAGAGGTAGACAATGCATGAGACAGAGACAGGAGTGAAATGAGTGAGGGATAAAGAGAATGAGTGAGAGGTAAACAAATGAGGCAGAGACAGAGGATTGGACAGAATGAGGAGAGGAAAAGAGAATGAGAATGTGAGAGGTAGACAATACATGAGGCAGAGACAGTGAGTGATTGAGTGAGGGATAAAGAGAATGAGGAGGGTAGACAATAAAGACAGTGAATGAGGAGAAGAGTGAAAAAGACAATACATGAGACAGAGACAGAGTGAATGAGTGAGGGATAAAGAGAATGAGAGAGGTAGACAATTGAGACAGAGACAGGAGGGAGGAGGGATAAAGAAAGAGAATGTGAATGAGAGGATAGACAATGAGTGAGAGAGAGACAGAGACAGGAGTGATTGAATGAGGGATAAAGAGAATGAGTGAGGTAGACAATGCATGAGGCAGAGACAGGAGGAATGAGTGAGGGATAAAGAGAATGAGTGAGAGGTAGACAATACATGAGACAGAGACAGGAGGATTGAGTGAGGGATAAAGAGAATGAGTGAGAGGTAGACAATACATGAGACAGAGACAGTGAGTGAAGTGAGGGATAAAGAAATGAGTGAGAGTTGAGACAAGACATGAACAGAGAATGTTGAGTGAGAAGTAGAATGAAGGTGACAAGACATGGGCAGAGACAGTGAGTGATTGAGTGAGGGATAAAGAGAATGAGTGAGAGGTAGACAATACATGAGACAAAAGACAGTGAGTGATTGAGTGAGGGATAAAGAGAATGAGTGAGAGGTAGACAATACATGAGACAGAGACAGTGAGGAATGAGGGGGATAAAGAGAATAAGGGACATTAAAGAGAAGAGAGAGGATTATGAGGAGAGGAGAATAGACAGACGCATGAGGCAGAGACAGTGAGTGATTGAGTGAGGGATAAAGAGAATGAGGAGAGGTAGACAATACATGAGACAGAGACAGACATTGAGTGAGGATAAAGAGAATGAGTGAGAGGGACAAAGAGACAAGACAGTGAGGAATGAGAGGGATAAAGAGAATGAGGAGAGGTAGACAATACATGAGGCAGAGACAGTGAGGAATGAGGAGGGATAAAGAGAATGAGAGGTAGACAATAGATGAGACACAGGAGTGATTGAGTGAGGGATAAAGAGAATGAGTGAGAGGTAGACAATACATGAGGCAGAACAGTGAGTGATTGATAGAGGGATAAAGAGAATGAGAGAGGTAGACAATACATGAGCAGAGACAGTGAGTGATTGAGAATGAGGGATAAAGAGAGAATGAGTGAGAGGTAGACAATACATGAGACAGAGACAGTGAGTGATTGAGTGAAGGATAAAGAGAATGAGTGAGAGGTAGACAATACATGAGACAGAGACAGTGAGGAATGAGTGAGGGATAGAGACAGGGAGTTGACAATGAGACAGAGACAGTGAGGATTGAGGAGGGATAAAGAGAATGAGTGAGAGGTAGACATTACATGAGGGGCAGAGACAGTGAGGATTGAATGAGAGGGATAAAAGAGAATGAGAGTGAGGGATAAAGGTAGACAATACATGAGACAGAGACAGGAGGATTGAGTGAGGGATAAAGAGAATGAGTGAGAGGTAGACAATACATGAGGCAGAGACAGTGAGTGATTGAGTGAGGGATAAAGAGAATGAGTGAGAGGTAGACAATACATGAGACAGAGACAGTGAGATTGAGGAGGGATAAAGAGAATGAGTGAGAGGTAGACAATACATGAGACAGAGACAGTGAGTGATTGAGTGAGGGATAAAGAGAATGAGTGAGAGGTAGACAATACATGAGACAGACACAGGAGGATTGAGTGAGGGATAAAGAGAATGAGTGAGAGGTAGACAAATACACGAGGCAGAGACAGGAAGTGATTGAGTGAGGGATAAAGAGAATGAGTGAGAGGTAGAGAGACAGAGACAGTGAGTGAATGAGTGAGGGATAAAGAGAAATGAGTGAGAGGTAGACAATGCATGAGACAGAGACAGTTGAGTGAATGAGAATGAGGGATAAAGAGAATGAGACTGAGAGGGATTGGAGACAGAGACATGGAGAGGTACATGAGGCAGAGACAGGAGTGATTGAGTGAGGGATAAAGAGAATGAGTGAGAGGTAAACAATACATGAGACAGAGACAGTGAGGAATGAGGAGGGATAAAGAGAATGAGTGAGAGGTAGGAGGCAGAGACAGGTAGTGATGATAGGGGATAGAGACAGGAGGAAGAGACAGGAGTGATTGAATGAGGGATAAAGAGAATGAGTGAGAGGTTGACAATACATGAGACATGAGAGACAGGAGGAATGAGTGAGGGATAAAGAGAATGAGGAGAGTGGAAAGACATTACATGAGAGGCAGAGACAGTGAGTGATTGAGTGAGGAGACAAAGGGGAAAAGAGAATGAGTGAGAGGAGACAATACATGAGACAGAGACAGTGAGTGAATGAGTGAGGGATAAAGAGAATGAGTGAGAGGTAGACAATACATGAGAGACAGAGACAGTGAGTGAATGAGTGAGGGATAAAGAGAATGAGTGGAGAAGTAGACAGGATAGAGACACAGTGAGTGATTGAGTGTGGGATAAAGAGAATGAGTGAGAGGTAAACAATACATGAGAGACAGACAGTGAGAGAATGAGTGAGGGATAAAAGAAATGAGTGAGAGGAGACAATACAAGAGAATGATTGAGAGGGATAAAGAGAATGTGAGAGGTAAATACATGAGGCAGAGACAGTGAGTGATTGAGTGAGGGATAAAGAGAATGAGTGAGAGGTAGACAATACATGAGACAGAGACAGTGAGTGAATGAGTGAGGGATAAAGAGAATGAGTGAGAGGTTGACAATACATGAGACAGAGACAGATTGAGTGTGGTGAATGAGGGATAAAGAGAGAATGAGTGAGGGATAAAGGTGAGGACAATACATGAAGGCAGAGACAGTGAGTGATTGAGTGAGGGATAAAGAGAATGAGTGAGAGGTAGACAATACATGAGACAGAGACAGTGAGTGAATGAGGTGGGATAAAGAGAATGAGTGAGAGGTACATAATACATGAGACAGAGACAGTGAGTGAATGAGTGAGGGATAAAGAGAATGAGTGAGAGGTAAAGACAATACATGAGGCAGAGACAGAGACAGTGAAATGAGTGAGGGATAAAGAGAATGAGTGAGAGGTAGACAATACATGAGGCAGAGACAGGAGGATTGAGTGAGGGATAAAGAGAATGAGTGAGAGGTAGACAATACATGAGACAGAGACAGTGAGTGAATGAGTGAGGGATGAAAGACAGTGAGTGATGAGTGAGGGATAAAGAGAATGACAAGGTACAATACATGAGGCAGAGACAGTGAGTGATTGAGTGTGGGATAAAGAGAATGAGTGAGAGGTAGACAATGCATGAGGCAGAGACAGTGAGTGAATGAGTGAGGGATAAAGAGAATGAGTGAGAGGTAGACAATAAATGAGACAGAGACAGAGACAGTGAGTGAATGAGTGAGGGATAAAGAGAATGAGTGAGAGGTAGACAATACATGAGACAGAGACAGTGAGTGATTGAGTGAGGGATAAAGAGAATGAGTGAGAGGTAGACAATACATGAGGCAGAGACAGTGAGTGATTGAGTGAGGGATAAAGAGAATGAGAGGTAGACAATACATGAGGCAGAGACAGTGAGTGATTGAGTGAGGGATAAAGAGAATGAGGAGAGAGGTTGACAATACATGAGGCAGAGACAGTGAGTGAATGAGTGAGGGATAAAGAGAATGAGGAGAGGTAGACAATACATGAGGCAGAGACAGTGAGGAATGAGTGAGGGATAAAGAGAATGGAGTGAGGGTAGACAATACATGAGACAGAGACAGTGAGTGAATGAGTGAGGGATAAAGAGAATGAGTGAAAGGTAGACAATACATGAGACAGAGACAGTGAGTGATTGAGTGAGGGATAAAGAGAATGAGTGAGAGGTAGACAATACATGAGACAGAGACAGTGAGTGATTGAGTGAGGGATAAAGAGAATGAGTGAGAGGTAGACAATACATGAGGCAGAGACAGTGAGTGAATGAGTGAGGGATAAAGAGAATGAGTGAGAGGTAGACAATGCATGAGGCAGAGACAGTGAGTGAATGAGTGAGGGATAAAGAGAAATGAGAATAGACAATATATGAGGACATAGACAGTGAGTGAATGAACAGAGACAAAGAGAATGAATGTAGACAAGGATAAAGAGAATGAGTGAGAGGTAGACATTACAATACATGAGACAGAGACAGTGAGTGAATGAGTGAGGGATAAAGAGAATGAGTGAGAGGTTGACAATACATGAGACAGAGACAGTGAGTGAATGAGTGAGGGATAAAGAGAATGAGTGAGAGGTTGACAATACATGAGACAGAGACAGTGAGTGAATGAGTGAGGGATAAAGAGAATGAGTGAGAGGTAGACATTACATGAGGCAGAGACAGTGAGTGAATGAGGGAGGGATAAAGAGAATGAGTGAGAGGTAGAAAACATTACATGAGACAGAGACAGTGAGGGATAAAGAGAATGAGTGAGAGGTAGAGGGATAAAGAGAATGAGTGAAACGTAGACAATACATGAGACAGAGACAGTGAGTGAATGAGTGAGGGATAAAAGAATGAGTGAAAGCTAGACAATACATGAGACAGAGACAGTGGTCATTGATAGAGGGATAAAAGAATGAGTGAGAGGTAGACAATACATGAGACAGAGACAGTGAGTGATTGAGTGAGGGATAAAGAGAATGAGTGAAAGGTAGACATTACATGAGACAGACAGTGAGTGAATGAGTGAGGGATAAATAGAATGAGTGAGAGGTTGACAATACATGAGACAGAGACAGTGAGTGAATGATTGAGGGATAAAGAGAATGAGTGAGAGGTTGACAATACATGAGACAGAGACAGTGAGTGAATGAATGAGGGATAAAGAGAATGAGTGAGAGGTTGACAATACATGAGACAGAGACAGTGAGTGAATGAGTGAGGGATAAAGAGAATGAGTGAGAGGTTGACAATACATGAGACAGAGACAGTGAGGAATGAGTGAGGGATAAAGAGAATGAGTGAGAGGTTGACAATACATGAGACAGAGACATTGAGCGAATGAGTGAGGGATAAAGAGAATGAGGAGAGGTTGACAATACATGAGACAGAGACAGTGAGTGAATGAGTGAGGGATAAAGAGAATGAGTGAGAGGTTGACAATACATGAGACAGAGACAGTGAGTGAATGAGTGAGGGATAAAGAGAATGAGTGAGAGGTAGACATTACATGAGGCAGAGACAGTGAGTGATTGAGTGAGGGATAAAGAGAATGAGTGAGAGGTAGACATTACATGAGACAGAGACAGTGAGTGATTGAGTGAGGGATAAAGAGAATGAGTGAAATGTAGACAATACATGAGGCAGAGACAGTGAGTCATTGATAGAGGGATAAAGAGAATGAGTGAGAGGTAGACAATACATGAGACAGAGACAGTGAGTGATTGAGTGAGGGATAAAGAGAATGAGTGAGAGGTAGACATTACATGAGACAGACAGTGAGTGAATGAGTGAGGGATAAAGAGAATGAGTGAGAGGTAGACATTACATGAGACAGAGACAGTGAGTGATTGAGTGAGGGATAAAGAGAATGAGTGAGAGGTAGACAATACATGAGACAGAGACAGTGAGTGAATGAGTGAGGGATAAAGAGAATGAGTGAGAGGTTGACAATACATGAGACAGAGACAGTGAGTGAATGAGTGAGGGATAAAGAGAATGAGTGAGAGGTTGACAATACATGAGACAGAGACAGTGAGTGAATGAGTGAGGGATAAAGAGAATGAGTGAGAGGTAGACAATACATGAGACAGAGACAGTGAGTGAATGAGTGAGGGATAAAGAGAATGAGTGAAATGTAGACAATACATGAGGCAGAGACAGTGAGTCATTGATAGAGGGATAAAGAGAATGAGTGAGAGGTAGACAATACATGAGACAGAGACAGTGAGTGATTGAGTGAGGGATAAAGAGAATGAGTGAGAGGTTGACATTACATGAGACAGAGACAGTGAGTGAATGAGTGAGGGATAAAGAGAATGAGTGAGAGGTAGACATTACATGAGACAGAGACAGTGAGTGATTGAGTGAGGGATAAAGAGAATGAGTGAGAGGTAGACAATACATGAGACAGAGACAGTGAGTGAATGAGTGAGGGATAAAGAGAATGAGTGAGAGGTTGACAATACATGAGACAGAGACAGTGAGTGAATGAGTGAGGGATAAATAGAATGAGTGAGAGGTAGACATTACATGAGACAGAGACAGTGAGTGATTGAGTAAGGGATAAAGAGAATGAGTGAGAGGTAGACATTACATGAGACAGACAGTGATTTAATGAGTGAGGGATAAAGAGAATGATTGAGAAGTAGTCAAAGCATGAGGCAGAGACAGTGAGTGATTGAGTGAGGGATAAATAGAATGAGTGAGAGATAGACAATACATGAGACAGAGACAGTGAATGATTGAGTGAGGGATAAAGAAAATTAAATGAGAGGTAGACAATGCATGAGGCAGAGACAGTGAGTGATTGTGTGAGGGATAAAGAGAATGAGTGAGAGGTAGACAATACATGAGACAGAGACAGTGAGTGATTGAGTGAGGGATAAAGAGAATGAGTGAAAGGTAGACAATACATGAGGCAGAGACAGTGAGTGATTGAGTGAGGGATAAAGAGAATGAGTGAGAGGTAGACAATGCATGAGACAGAGACAGTGAGTGATTGAGTGAGGGATAAAGAGAATGAGTGAGAGTTAGAAAATACATGAGACAGAGACAGTGAGTGATTGAGTGAGGGATAAAGAGAATGTGTGAGAGGTAGACAATACATGAGGCAGAGACTGTGAGTGATTGAGGAGGGATAAAGGGAATGTGAGAGGTAAACAATACATGAGGCAGAGACAGTGAGTGATTGAGTGAGGGATAAAGAGAATGAGTGAGAAGTAAACAATACATGAGGCAGAGACAGTGAGTGATTAAGTGAGGGATAAAGTGAATGAGTGAGAGGTAGACAATACATGAGGCAGAGACTGTGAGTGATTGAGTGAGGGATAAAGGAAATGTGTTAGAGGTAAACAATACATGAGGCAGAGACAGTGATTGATTGAGTGAGGGATAAAGAGAATGAGTGAGAAGTAAACAATTCATGAGGCAGAAACAGTGAGTGATTGAGTGAGGGATAAAGAGAATGTGTGAGAGGTAGACAATACATGAGGCAGAGACTGTGAGTGATTGAGTGAGGGATAAAGGGAATGTGTGAGAGGTAAACAATACATGAGGCAGAGACAGTGAGTGATTGAGTGAGGGATAAAGAGAATGAGTGAGAAGTAAACAATACATGAGGCAGAGACAGTGAGTGATTGAGTGAGGGATAAAGAGAATGAGTGAGAAGTAAACAATACATGAGGCAGAGACAGTGAGTGATTGAGTGAGGGATAAAGTGAATGAGTGAGAGGTAGACAATACATGAGGCAGAGACTGTGAGTGATTGAGTGAGGGATAAAGGAAATGTGTGAGAGGTAAACAATACATGAGGCAGAGACAGTGAGTGATTGAGTGAGGGATAAAGAGAATGAGTGAGAAGTAAACAATTCATGAGGCAGAGACAGTGAGTGATTGAGTGAGGGATAAAGAGAATGTGTGAGAGGTAGACAATACATGAGGCAGAGACAGTGAGTGATTGAGTGAGGGATAAAGAGAATGAGTGAGAGGTAGACAATGCATGAGGCAGAGACAGTGAGTGAATGAGTGAGGGATAAAGAGAATGAGTGAGAGGTAGACATTACATGAGGCAGAGACAGTGAATGAGAAAGAGAATGTGTGAGAGGTAAACAATACATGAGGCAGAGACAGTGAGTGATTGAGTGAGGGATAAAAGAATGAGTGAGAGTTAGACAATACATGAGACAGTGACAGTGAGTGATTGAATGAGTCAGGAAAAGAGAGCAGTTGTGTGAGATAAAAATGATTGAAAGAAAGACTGTTACAGAGTGTAAAAGTCAATTAGTAAGTGAGAGTTAGTAGCTGATTTAATGAAACAATTATTTAAAAGAAATTTACTGTGCTTTCTAGTTTTCACGTTATAGTTTGTCATATTGAATCACTTGTTTAATTTCTTGGTAGAATAATCCTGCAAATTTATAAGTTTGCCATTTGTCCGTGCATCGAACAATTCCTGCTACATCTCGTCTGGTGCTTCTGTATCATATCTGGATATTCTTGACAAAAGCCAAACAAAAATCCACAACGTTATCGGTCCTGACCTGTCATCCTGGCTCCAGTTCTTTCTCACCGCCCTAAAGTGGCCTCCTTTTGGTTCTTCTGTACGCAATTTACTTAAACACTAGCTATAGATAGCAAAAAATATGAAGCATAAATAATCTTTATGTGTGATTAATGAATTCAGGTAAATATAAATATATTTTTTTAAATATGTCAATATGACACAAAAGTAATTCATCGACATCTATTTGCTTCTTCTATATAAATAAATAATAGGGGAAGGAGACAAGTAAGCTGTTACAGAGCGTAACGTACGTACTAACCAACTAAATTGGGAACGAACGAATAAGCCGAAATATAATATCATTATTAAACTTCCAGAAAAGCGGGATTTGCACAAAAGATGTAATGTTTAACAGTATTTCGATAGTATGCCTATCCTCTTGAGGTTAAAAGAAGAATAAAAAAGAAATGAAAAAAAAGAATACATATAATTATTATTATTATTAATATCTCTATTTTTATTTGTTTTTTAACTTAACTGTTTATATTTGTTCTTCTATATAATAAATGCGAATGTCAGTGTGTCACTGTGTCATACTTTTTCAATTTTACTTCTAGAGGCCGTAGCCCAACGTATCCTACGATTTTGGAATCAGGCCGAACCTGTATGAAAATAAAAACATTCTGGGTCATATCTGGACCCGCAATCCTGAAATTTTGGATTCCCAAGTTTTCATTTTTGCGTTTGTTTTCGGCGAGTTTTTGCAACAAACCTTTTGCACGATAACAATTTTAATAACTTGCAAATAAATTTGAAAATACTCGAAATTATTTACGAAATCCAGCGCAAGTCACCAATGAAAAAAAAAATTGTTTGTACGAAAAGTAAGGAACTACGTACATGAAATTGTCTTTAAATTAAGTGGGGCAAAAGAACAATTGTTCAAATTTTAAAAGGTAAGCTTAAATATTAATGCAATACTTTGTTGCCTATCGTATATAGTATTCCTACCGTGATAAAGGCCCAATCTAGCGCCCTTCACAGGACCTAGCTGAAATTCTGCCCTTATAAACATTGAAAAGCTAATTACGATTTCTGTCTTAGTTTCTGTGCAGGTGGGACACATACAAATTTGAGAATTATGCGACAAATCTAAAAATAAACAAAACGGAAACCCGAGCATCATACTGTCCAGCAGATATCTAAGTCCATAGGTATTTGTTCTGTTTCTGTCCATGCTGTTTTAACTAACATCTTTGGAATGTCCAAGCCTTCTGTAAGATGGGTACCAAGGATGCTGACACGAGAGCAGAAGTTGAAAAGGGTTGACATTTCCAGGACACTTCTGACTCGCTTCGAGACTGACCCTGAGAATTTCCACCACAGATTAGTAAATCCAGATGATACCTGGGTTCACCACGCCGGGCATGTATCAAAGACTCAAAGCAAAAAGTGGAAACACACTGGTTCTCCACCCCTGAAGAAGTTCAAGCAAACAGCATTTGTTAGCAAGGTGATGTCTTCTGTTTTTGGTGTTGGTGGGGGGTATTCTGAAGGCGTAATCATGATAGACTATCTGGAAAAAGGAAAAGTTATTAATGGACAGAAATATGCATCAGAATTATGAAAACTGAAGCAAGGAATCAAGTCAAAATGCAGAGAAGAGACAAGGGCAAGTAGGCTCTTCCACTAAGAGAACGCGCCCTTTCTCACTTCTGAGGTTGCAGTAGCTGAAACACCCTACTGCGGCTTTGAATTGCTACCGCATCCTCCTTACTCACCAGGCTAAGCTCCATCTGACTTCTTCCTGTTTCCTAAACTCAAATCCCACCTGTGTGTTCACCATTTTGGAAACAACCATAAAAATCGTATGGGCTGTGAAGGAGTTTCAGTACGCCGCCTTCTACCGTGATGCTTAAGCATCATTGAAACATGTGTATTGATGTCGGGGGCTGAGGTTCTATATTAAACAAAAGTGAAAAACTGTTTTATTTCTCCAACTATTTCTGGGTGAAACTTAAACCATATTCTACGACATTTATAACTTCTAAGCTATCAGTTTCGTCTATCGCGCTTAGCGCTTGTGGTATTCGCCTTCTGTCTTCTGAATTCCTCTAAACTAAGATCTTCAAATATTTAAATACAATTAAAAATCCTAATCTTCTGTCTTCATGAACACTGTTTCTATTATCGATCTCTCCGCTTCTTTCTCTCTCGATAATCCACCGCATCGTCTCGGCTTTTATTACTTTGTTTGTAGGGAAATAATTTTAACAAAAATCATTGTCTGATCTTAGAATTCCAAATTCTATATCAAACGGTAAATGTCGCATTTTGATTAATTTCAAATTCATTTTGGGTTTCTCATGGAAACTTTTACATATATACATACATATTCTTACATACCTGGTTCAATCTGTTTTTAATATTAACCCTGTAGTGATTGAAATTTAGTATTTTTATCTCCTTTTGAACATCCGTAGTATTCAAGTAGGAACTGTTATCCTCAGGTTTCATTACCTGTAAAAATCTATATCTTAGACATTATCTATTTATACCGTAATTTACATAAGGTGGCTGTGTAAATGGAAGGTAGGAAAGTTAATCATGTGACAAAAATTATTAGGAGCTACAAAATATAGTCATTTATGGAGAAAGGACGCGGTACATAGAAGAAGAAGAAGAAGGGGTATGAGGAGAAGGCGGAGGAGAAGGAAATTGTGAGTTACACATCCGGGGAGCGATGAATAAATTGTCGTCTCATTTACGCAAAAAATGAGAATAACACAGATATGTCATTTTAAAAGATATATTTACTAAAATTAAACAAAAATTTCTTGAAATACTTAAGAGTAAATTTATTCAATAAATTCGCCATTGGTTTCAACGACAGCCTGAAAATGACTTCAGAATCTCCTGCAGCTCTTCTAGACGGTCTCCTTGCTGAATGCTCTCATAATCCTTGCCTTCTGTTCTTCAATGGTGTTAAAGAGTTTTCTTGGTCTCTGGCTGAACTGCATAATAATCAAGGTTGTTGCAGTCTGGGGAGTTAGATGGCCAGGCGTAAGGGGGGGGGAAGTGGTAGAATTTGTTTGAATGCCATGACTCGAGTCATATTGTCAGATAGAGAATTTTCCAGCAGCGACCGTCTTGAACCAGCGCATCACTACCTCCTCAAAGGACTTTATGTTGGCCTCCGTGTTGAATCTTAGGCCCTGTGAATGGAGGCATAACGCCGCCATTACTAATGATCAGTCCAAAGATCTTCTTAATCACCATCACAGTGAATTAAGACATTTGTCAGAGTGTTGAAAGAATGAACTCAGATTATGGTGGGATAATGTCTACTTTTATTTCTACTCTTTTAGTAAGGACTACTGATGAATTTCTTTGGGGTCATTACATTTGAATAAATTAATAATCAGCCATATAAATCATTTTAATTTAATGTCAGTTCGTGGGTCAATTAAGATAGACATCAAACCGTTTTCGTTTTTTGTTTGTTTTACCGAGAAAATAAATAATTAGTCTCATATTTCTGAATCATCTGTACTGTTCTCCGATTGACACCCAAACACTCTGAAATGTTCCGGCGCGAATGCCAAAAAGAACAGCAATGTCTTTTCCAAAATTTTGACTAAGTGTATTACGTAATGGTGATATTTTTCTCACAGACAGTGACCAACTGACCCTACTGTACTGTGCAGTTGGCAAAATTAAAAATAAAAATGCGCGAAATTAAAAATATAAAATGTCAACAATTTCCCCAACGCACCTTGTATATCACGGTAGGGTAATTTTAACTCATCGAAAAATAGTATTATGATGACAGACAGAATAGGCAATATGGCTGAATCAGTTTAATGAATTGAATTAAGATATTCGTCAGGGTGTTGAAAGAATGAACTCGGATTATGGTGGGATAATGTCTGCTTTTATTTCTACACTTTTAGTAAGGACTACTGATGAATTTTTTGGGGTCATTACATTTGAATAAATTAATAATGAGGCCATATAAATCATTTTAATTTAATGTCAATTCGTGGGTCAATTAAGATAGACATGAAAACGTTTTCGTTTTTTGTTTGTTCTACCGAGAAAATAAGTAATTTAAAGATATCCAAATATTGAACATCGTCTTTTGGTGAGACTTCTATTCACAGAAATGTATCAGATAGATAGATAGGTAGATAGATAAGGATGAGATAGATAGATATGAACAAGGATAGATAGATAGATAGATAGATAGATAGATAGATAGATAGATAGATAGATAGATAAGGATGAGATAGATATGAACAAGGATAGATAGATAGATAGATAGATAGATAGATAGATAGATAGATAGATAGATAGATATGAACAAGGATAGATAGATAGATAGATAGATAGATATGAACAAGGATAGATAGATAGATAGATAGATAGATAGATAGATATGAACAAGGATAGATAGATAGATAGATAGATAGATAGATAGATATGAACAAGGATAGATAGATAGATATGAACAAGGATAGATAGATAGATAGATAGATAGATAGATAGATAGATAGA